GATGATGGATGATGGATGATGGATGGATGGATGGATGGATGATGGATGATGGATGATGGATGGATGGATGATGGATGATGGATGGATGGATGATGGATGATGGATGATGGATGATGGATGATGGATGGATGGATGGATGGATGATGGATGATGGATGATGGATGGATGGATATCATGTCTGGTTGGGTGAACAAAGTCCTGCCTAAGGTCAGCAGCTGTCAGCGACCAGCAGCTCTGCTGGCGATGTTTAGTGTTCTACGGAACAGAAAGCTGACGTTGTTTCTCCCCACATCCAGTGGGTTGTGCAGGTTGCTATAATCAATAGCAACCACACAGGCTCACCTGCTAGAAGGAAACAAACGCACCCAACATAACACTTTCATCCTATTGGCTGAGAGGTTGCTAGGTGACTCTGCCAAAAAGGCAGTTCCATGTTTCGTTAGCGAGCAGAGAGAGAAGTTTTGAGTACACATGTTATAAGTTTTGAGAATAAAGACATGAAGTCCTGCTCTCAGACTGAACATGTGTGCTCTTGGATTATGGCAGGAAATTTACCCCATAGATGGTCCAGTCCAAGCCTCCTGCTCTCAGCTCTGGTTTGGGGTTTGATGTACAGTTCGTTCATAGTACTTCACCTTTTCCACATTTTCTGTTCCAGCCTTTTTCCAAAACAGCGTACACAGAACTCTCCCGTTACGACAAGATTTAGTGTTTTGCACATTTATTAGGAGAGATGGCCGATTCTTTCCTGATTAACAGAACCAAATGTTTCATCGAAAGGGAACAAAAGGCTTTAATGGACCAGACAGATGGTCTGGAGGGAACTGATGGTTGGTCCTGTTTGTGTCCAGGTTGTATCAGGGGACGCTGGTCCACCAGCTGGTCCACAGGATGAGGAGCGGCGGGAAGCTGAAGACCGTCCTGAGGAGCGACCGGCCCAGCGAGGAGCTGTACCGCTCCCTGCTCTCCGCGGTCCAGAGGATCCGGTCCCGGACCCGCCGGACCCGTCAGAAAGCCGCGACCCGTTGGCAGCAGAACCCCCAGGAGCTGAGCGCCGACCTGCAGCGGCTGTTCCTGCAGGATGAGGAGGCGGAGAGCGAAGCTCGGGCCGCCGTGGCGGCACAGGAGGAGCTGCGGCTGCAGGAGGAGCTGCTCCAGGTCCGAACCCGCTACAGAACCAAGGAGAGGAGCAACCGGAGCAAGAACCCGGAACTGGCCCGGAAGGAGGAGTGTCGGGGCCGGAACCTCCTCTGACCGTCCAGCTCCTGCTGCAGGGGGCTTTGATGGTCGCCGTGGCTACCTGCTCTGGTCGCCGTGGCTACCTGCTGTAGTCGCCATGGCTACCTGCTCTGGTCGCCATAGTGTTATTATTTAGTATGATGTTTTCCAGAACCCGACTCTCCAGTCGAACAGAATTTATTTGGTTTCTAAACCAGGAAATGAAATCGTCCAGGAAGGATTTTCTGTTTTATAGATCAGTTACAATGCAGATTAAATCACAACAGGAATAAATGATTAATATTTTTATGCATATTTGGTGTTTTTATTGTGCTTGTAAATCAGGTCGAGTCGTGCTGTGGAGGATTGTTCAGATTGTTGAACAACTTCATTTCCTCGTTTGGTTGCTTTGAAATAATGTTTTTATGTTTTAAAGATAAATTACTTTTGGTGCTTTTTGTCAGGTTTCATCAGGTTTTAGTTCAGTTTTAAAGCATCTGTCAGGTGGAGGCGTTGCATCCTTCAACTTTATATCCCATAATCCTTTGCTGTTACAGGCAGTTTGGTCCCAGCTTAAAACCAGCGATAAAATACCTGAGGTGAGACTTTATGCACCTGGAGCCGCGGAGCGGTTCAGTCGGAGCTAACGAGGCTAACTAGCCAAACTGGCTGCTAAAACCTTGGAGATCAACATCTGCTTTTCCTCTCACCAGATCTACACGACATGAAGATAGAAAAATTGTAAATGAAATTCTATTGACTTATTTTATATCTCAATATCCATCAGTTATAGCAGAAATATTAAAGTGATAGAAAACCTTTTTTTGTGATGAAATTTTTATTATTCTTTGCTATTTAGTACAGACTCTCTCTCTGTCTCTCTCTCTCTCTCTCTCTCTCTCTCTCT